AAGTATGCAATTGAAAAGCTGAATTAAAACCCTAATATTATTAAAACATGAATTGAAATCCTAATATTGTACTACTAAAACATGAATTATGAAATAAGAAATAAGAAATTTTTTTAACTACACCTCTATTAAATCATAACCTCCTCATAGTAATAAAATTAGTTAGTCCCACCATTATAACTATAGAGAGGTTTTACTGTATAAGATAAAATCATAGATTATTTTGCGCAAAAGAGCATATTAAAAATGCAATAATCAAGCCCCAAAAAGAATTATTGAATAAACAAGCTTCAAAAATTAATGACTCGAGTAAAGCTCGGAGATTAATGATTTGTAAGTAGTTTGGTACACTCTTTTTTGTCTTCCAATTTCCCAAAATATAAATAACAAACAAGAACCTGAATTAAAACCTTCAAATCGATTAAAAAAAAAAAAAAAAAAAAAAACCTATATTTTAGTCTCAAAACTCAGAATCAAATTAACATAATCCCTCAAATAAAAAGATGTAACTTCTATAGATCCAAGAGATACTTATAATTAGAAAGCCTATGGATAGAGAAAAAAGTAACTAGAGAGGAAAGCTTAAGAGTTAAGACGGATAATTTGAATCGTCTATAAACTCTCTCCTCACAAAGCACAGTGAAAATTCATCCCTCTTTGAGAATATTATAAAACAAACGAGCGATGTTTTTGCCAAGCATCTTTTCAATTTAACTCACAATTTCTACAACTATGATGACCCAAATTTGGAACACAAAAACAAACTAGAAAAAAATAGAGAAAAGAGAACTAATACTCCAAGTTTGGAATCACGACCAAATGAAACCAGTCAGAGCAACCAAATCGAAAAGGCAACAACACTACGACCAAAGTAAAACCAAAAAGAGTAAACCGGTATCACCATGAGAGAGAGAGAGCAAGCTGAAACAGATTGTGAGTATTTCTGTATTTGTTCTTTTACCTGCTTTTTGGGAAACAAAGTATGGAATAGTGCGACCTTTCAACTTACTTCACGAGAAAATATTCTATATTTATGCTTCTTTTCTTATTATATAATTAAAATAGTACATTTTCACCTTTTCCTTTTTTTTCCTTTTTTCCATGGCCTATGTTCTAATTTTGTATTTTCTAGATTTTCTTCTAATCTGGATAGGTGTAATCCAACGGTGAATATAGATTTTTTTTTTCTTTTTTACCAAGATATAATATATCAAAATTCAACTGCAAAGATAGCTTCCGGTAATCATAAACTTGATCTAGCCAAGTTGGATGATAAATAAGTAAAAACAATTCATTTCTTGGATACATTAATGTAGTAAAAGAAACAGAAAATACAAATAGTAGTCACTGCAGAGTCAAACTAAGTAACAAATAATCAACTATCATAATTTACTGAATTACTACAACAAAAACGGTAACTCAATATAATAACATGCGAAATTAACAAATAACCAACCGTCATAACTTACTGAATTACTACAACAAGAATGGTAACTCAATTTAGCAACATGAGGAATTAACTATCACCCTGTCTCTACAGAGGCACTAACTACCTATCTATAAATCTCAATTTGCTCCAGATCATGCTCGATTAGGTTACCTCTTACTTTAAGTCTTCCAATCTCTTCAATTGTAGTAAGAGTTAGTTCTAGGTTTTCTTGATTTTGGTTGACCTAATTGATAAAGATGACACGAAGTGATGGTAAAGTGTGAAGAAGGTAGTTGAAGAAACGTGCAATTAGACTCCATAGTAGTGCATACCATGGAGATATGATAATGAGAAACAAATAGGCTACTAAGAAATCTGGGGGCGGTAAAGTGAATGACGCTAGGATTGATAGAGCTAGGAGAAGAGAAAATTTTCCAGAACGCAAGAAGATGGGACGACTCATATTAACAAAGAGTGTGATGGGTGTGAAGATGAAAACTAGTAGTAAAAGAAGAGCAAGAATCAATAACAGGATAAATAGAAATGGATATTAAAGAATGTTTTTAGCTTGGGGTTTAATTAATAGAAAGAAAATGAAATTATTTAACAGGGGTGACAAAAAAAGCCGCGAATCAAAGGAGCAATTCATGGTTGTAAATGGTTATAACAGCAAAGAAAAAAGAATGAGCACATACTTACAGACCTAAAACTATATTTCTAAGCAGGGGGGGATTATTAGATCAAACCCATTTCTCTTTGCGGAATGTTCCAGGGTACTTCCCTCCCGCTCAATGTGATGTTTGGAATTTGGTACTGTAGCCTGTTACACGAAACAAACATGGCCGTTGATCTAGAAATACTCAGTATAAAAGTTACAGTAATCCGTTGGTTAATGACCTATCAAAACTTACACTCCGTTTGTCCTCAAAAGTCAAAACATCTAGACGCTTTACTCTCTCACATTTGACCCATCTAATGGAGTAAACGGAGGTAAAATAATAGCAACGCAAACGGCGGCCATTTGTGTATTATTTTTGTTTCGGCTTTGGAGTAAACGGAGTGTACTCGCTCTCCATGGCTGCCAAGTCTGATTTATGAGTTTGACGTGGAAGGAAGCAATTGAAGAAAACTCTGCTGTACCTGCCCCCATTTAAACAGACAAGAGCTTCCTTTCCTCCCATTTAAACCCCATTGTCCAAGAAAGTTGACTGAAACTATATCAGATAGAGAATTACTGTATAATTATTACTTTACTCCGCAATTCCAAAACATCACATTGAGAGGGTGGAAGTTCCAAACATTCTGCAATTCTTAGGCAATCGGAATGGGCTTATTTCAAAATTATATTGAAAATTTAGATTATAATAGTTTATTTATAATTTATTGAAAGAAATAAAGATAAAATTGATTTTTTGAAGGTCAATCTGAAAAAGGAAAAAATAAAAATAAAAAACCTATATTTTAAGGACATTAAACAAGAAAGGAGGAGGCGTGCTAGAAGCCTAAAAAAAATTGGGTTAGGTGGATAAAATAACGCATTGAACATGTAAGAGGCTTTTATATGAATAGGCATATAAATAAACTAATCATGTAAGAGGCTTTTAAAGAGTATTTAATGATATAATTAAAATTGAAATAATAAATTTTTTTTTTTTTAAATTTATATCCTAAGAATTTTTCTTGACGATTGTGGTCAAGCCTGAAAGAACAAACATCTCAACACATTTTAATGCCCCAAACTAAGATAGATTTAGTGGGAAAAAAAAAAAAAAAAACCTTCTTATATAACCTAGCCTGGGCTTAAAGCGCGGCCCAGGTTTTACTAACCCAGGCTTTTCCCCAGGTCCAGACTTGCATTTTTAGAAAAAGAACCCAAACCTGGACCGGCCAATCGTGGCCCGGGCCCAGGGTTTTTATGTCCCTATTTTGCTCTTTCTTTCTAAATCTAAAAGTTAAGTGCTACAGATACATTATCCGATAATTTCAATTATATTAGTCCTAAAGGAAACCATAAATTAAAGTACTTGTGAATTGATGTGTTTAGGAACAGCTAGCTGACTGCAACTGTGATCATATTGTATACAGTAATGTTTAAAAAATTCTGGATTAAAGATTTATGTGATGAAACTCTTGACTTTGAGAGAAACATCTATTAACATCCTCTGATATATCAAGTTTCTAAGCAGATTGTCAAGGAGCTAGCTGAAGAGCTGATACTAGAAAGCTAATTCCATTAGTCATCCTGCTTGAAAACACCCTCTTTTCCGCAATTATCGCCTTCTTTACTTCGTCGTCTTCCACGTTCTCTTTATTTTCCTCCTCTTCTTGAACATCTTCATGCTCATGTCCTCCTATATATCAAGCTTAAACGCAAAGGGATTATCAGTTCAAAGCGTGCATTTTCTGGACAAGTTTACAAATGATACAACAGAATCAAGAAGCAGTATATTTTTCAAATATAAAGCAAATAACAAGATAATTAAATTGAATCCCACTTTTTGCACGAATAGATAATTATATTTGAATCACATAATTTAGTCGCATGATTTGTTATAAAATCCGCAGGGCGCCCTAAATGGGAAACATACAACAAAATCAAACATCTCACATCTACCTAACGGCTAAGATTTCTTCCAGCAATATATAAATTGACCACTAAATTTGATTATTAAATATGCAAAAGTATTACCTTTTTGTTGGGTATCTTCAACAGACATTCCGCTAAGAGACTAAAATAAAATAAAATAAAATTCAGACCAATTTTTAGACTCCAAAACCCGACACAATTTTTAGCATTTCCTACAAAATACCATTAATAAAACTTATCTTTCGTAAATCTGAGGGTATCCATCATTATTAATTTACGACAGTTACCCTGCTGCATTCCCATTAATCTGAGGGTATTGTCATAATTGGAATTAGTATGAGCGAATAGAAAAGAAAGAAGGAAACAGCAAAACCACTTGGTGTATGGCCGAATGGCCAGAGTTCTAGGTGAGTTACACAGAAGTCTTGTGTTCGAGTTTTACAAAATGATCACTTACCATATTTGTGAATTACCTGATCTATTGAGTTTGTAAAGTGTTTAGATCCCACAAATTAGTTGAAACAACAATGCTTCCTTCTTTTGTGACTTAAATGGACTCCGAAAATTAGTTAAAACAACAACGCTTTCCTTCTTCTGAGTGTGACTTACCTGCTTGTAAAGTGTTCAATAGATCCTGATGATTAGTTGCAACAGAAAAGCTTCCTTCTTTCCTCCCGGTTCTAGTACTACACTATATAAATGCAAGCTTCCTTCTTTCCCCTAAATACTCCCCTCTTAACCTAAGTAGTGGTTTTGATTTTTTCTTCTTTTCTCAGCTTTTAATCCTTTAGCGTTAGCATGGATTTCTGCTTTGAATTCCTCTCCTACTAAATATTTTCTTTCTCTTTAAAATTCAAGATTCTATATGCGGTGCAATTGCATTCAAGCAGGAGAAAGTATTGTTGCATCTGACCTGTATATTGCTCCTATGTATAAGTGAGCCATATTTTTTTTTTTTTTTTTTTTTTTTCTGCCAAAGTTCAGAAGAAAACAATAGTTAGTAACTTAGTACCGCGGAATTACTTGGGAGAAATAGCCACTGATGATCTGTTTGTTTCATTTATCTCCATATTTAGACATTTCCAGCATACCTAAACTGTGTTATTCTTTTGGGCATTTTCATTGTAGAGCCTTGGGTTTTATCAGATTCCCCATATCCCAGTATATATATATTCAACTTCTTCCACTGAAGATAGATTGATTACTATCGTTCAACATTTCAAATGGGATTCTAAGACCAACTACCTGCCCAACAACTGAGAACCAAGAGTTTAGATATTGTTCAACCGATTCTCCATGTTTATCTGAGGCAGCATTGCTGAGGAAAAGCAACTTCATCCATTCGCTAGTACCGCATGGACACAATTTGTACCATGGGCCTGTTCAAGTATGGATGCTCCTACAATCAACAGATTATTTACATTAATATTCCCAGGAGCTAAATATCATATTCAACATTTCATAAAATCTTTTACAAGTGACAAATAAAACTCCATCCAATCCAGTAGGCATATTTTAGTTGGGCAAAGAAGAGAGCAAACTTGAGGTAAAGAGAAATGTGTATGATGGTCCCACGACCATTTCAAGAAAGGAAATGAAAATGCAACATAATTTTTTAGAAGAAAAGGGTGATTGCATCATATATCTTAGGTCTCACTTTTGACTTTTAAAAACAGCAATACCTCCACCAAATAAGCTTTCACGATGCATGTAATAGCGACAGTAAATGTATGAAGTTTCAGCTAACCAGAAATCTGATCTCAAAACTGATAGATTCTACTGGGAAAAAAAAATTCTATCAACCAAATATAGTTATGGACAGACAGCAAAATCCCACCAATATAAGATATCTTGATAGTCTGGAAGGCTGATCCTCTCTACAATAATTCGGTTGTCCTGCTTCATTAACTTGACACGCCAGTTAACAAAACAAGGACCTTCCTCTTTTATCTGTTCTTGTGATCCCAGAAATGCCTACCAATTTATATTTTGGTATTTGGCTATAGGCCTATCCATACTTCGGGTAAATTGCCATACAGGCACTCTAAACTGCTCAACATCAACTAGTTTAAGCATTCAAAGTAGGTGACTGTAGCGACTTATACATAAAAAACAATGCATTAATACACACATGATACTACCATATCCAGAAGTTTTTACGTGGAAGAATAAGTGACGCATAGCCTATAGCATAATATTCAACAAAAAGATACGATTGCAGGAACCTTTCTTATCAGGATCTTCACATTTGTTGGATGACTCATTATAGCAGTTCCTTTATAAGCCTTCTTCAGGTAATCTTGATGTGCATTTTCAAGACACCAAGAATCCCACAACACTAGGTGTTGTGACTCTTCCTTGGCCCATGACAGAATAACATTGAGGCCAGCAAAATAAATTCTGCTAATCCACAAAGACCAATACAAAGTCAGGAACTGGTGAATAAACACATACACAAATGGAATTGTGTATTACCATGGATATTGATCCTCGGAGAACTTCAAGAGAAATTTGATGTTGAATTTCCGGGTTTTGGTGGCACAACAAAAGCCTTTTGTTTTGTCATTTCTGATTTCGTAAAAGCAAATTGTAAGGTAAAATCGCAGATTATTTTGCGCAGAAGAGCATATTAAAAATGCAATAATCAAGCCCCAAAAAGAATAATTGAATAAACAAGCTTCAAAATTACTGACTCGAGTAAAGCTGGGAGATTAATGGTTTGTAGGTAGTTTGGTACACTTTTAGCTTCTTTGTCTTCCTATTTCCCAAAATATAAATAACGAACAAGAACCTTGTGGAGAAATATTTTTCTTGTATTTCATAATGAGATGTACAATGAATTTATAGCAAAAACAAAAAACTAATCTAGGAAGTAAATTGTTACATTCTTATTATAATTCTATTTCCTATTCCTATTCCTATTATAATTCTATTACAATGAGAATAATTCTATTTCCTATATTACAAAGAGAATAATTCTATTTCTTATTTTACATTTCAACACTCCCCCTCAAACTAGAGCATATAAGTCATATGCACCAAGCTTGTTACAAATAAAGTCAACATGAGAACCTTTGAGAGACTTAATGAGGATTTCTGCTAACTGGTCATTGGAACTAACATAACTAGTTGCAATACACCCTGATAGAACTTTCTCTCGAACAAAGTGACAATCAATTTCTATGTGTTTAGTCCTCTCATGAAACACTGGATTTGAAGCAATATGAAGGGCAGCCTGATTATCACAGAGTAACTTCATTTGTGATACTTTGACAAATCTCAACTCTTGAATTAGTTGTTTTAACCAAACCAGCTCACAAGTGGCTAAGGCTATTGCACGATACTCTGCTTCAGCACTTAATCTTGCAACAACCGCTTGTTTCTTACTTTTCCATGAAACTAGGTTTCCTCCAACAAGAACACAAAATCCTGAGGTAGAACGTCTATCAGATGGCAAACCTACCCAATCAGCATCTGAATATCCGAATATGCGAATGGCCCTTTTTTCATACAGTAAGCCTCTACCTGGTGCTCCCTTGATATACCTTAAAATCCGGACAACTGCATCCCAATGACTGTCCACGGAGTTTGAAAGAACTGACTCACAACGCTGACAGAAAAGGAAATACCGTCGGTCGGTGATAGTAAGATAGTTAAGTTTTAACAAGTCTTCGATACCTTCCAGGATCAGTAAGAGGCTCCCCTTGTCCAGGTAAAAGTTTTAAATGGATCCATAGGAGAGTCTATTGGTCTGCATCTGAACACCTGTTTCCTCTAGAATATCCAGTTCATACTTCCTCTGAGAAATAACAATATCAGATTTACTGAGCGACTTCTATGCCAAGAAGTATCTGAGTAGCCCTAAGTCTTTCGTCTGAAAGTGTTTTGAACAAGTGTTGTTCTTCAACTGTCCATGCCATCTTGATCACTTCCTGTAATAACAATATCATCGACGTAGACAACCAATAGATACACTACCCTGATGATGTATGTCTATAGAAAACAGAGTGATCAGACTCACATCGAATCATACCAAACTCTTGGATAACTGTGCTAAATCTCTCAAACCGGCACAGGAGACTGTTTTAGACCATATGAGAACGACGAAGTTTACATACCAAACCAGACTCCCCCTGAGCAACAAAACCAGAGGTTGCTCCATATAAATATCTTCCTGAAGTTCACCATGAGAAAAGCATTCTAAATATCCAATTGATGCATAGGCCAGTTTCGAATGGCAGCCATAGCAAGAACAACCGAACGGAAAGACATCTTAGCAACAGAGAAAAAGTGTCAAAATAATCTGTCCCTAGATTCGAGTGTATCCCTTGCCACCAAACGGGCTTTCAGCCGCTCAACCTTACCATCTGACCACTATTTATAGTGTAAATCCATCGACAACCAACAGTCGAATGGCCCAGAGGTAAGGAAATTAACTCCCAAGTATGATATGATGCAAAGCAGACATTTCTTCAACCATTGCCTGATGCCACCCGTGGTGAAAATGCCTCATGAACATTGCAAGGAACAGAAACAAGAAAGGGTGGAGACAAAGGCATAATATGAAGGATATAAATGATGATAACTCAAAAAATTGTAGATGGGATGAGGGTGCATGTAGACCGCATACCTTTACGAATAGCAATGGGAAACTGATCAGCTGGAGACAGGACCGTGGCATTAAGGAATCGGGCACAGGACCTGCAGTGACAGGGATCTCAGGAACGGCAGGCGAACATCAGGATCACCTGTAAAAGGAACAAGACTATTGTCGACAGAAGAGTGGTATTAGTAGGAGACTGAGGTATCGAAAAGACGAAGGTGGGAAACAACGTATGGAATAGTAGAACATCTACTACCGGATCAGACTCCACTGGAGGATGAGGAAAAAATGAGAAGACTCAAAGACGTAACACCAGCAGAGATGAAGTAGCGATGTGTGGCGGGAGAATAAACACTTGTAGCCCTTCTGAAGACGTGAATACCCTAAGAAAATACATTTCGTAGACTTGGCTGACAGTTTATCCTGACCAAGAGGGAAAATGTGACAAACAAGTGCTCCAAAGACCCAGGGGAAGAGAAATAATGGAGTATCAGGGAATAATATGGAGTGTGGAACCTGGTCTTGTAAGACAGAAGAAGGCATGCGATTTATTAAGTAACAGGCAGTTAGAACCGCGTCAGCCCAAAACCGGAAAGGGACGTGGCTATGTAAAGAAGAGGTGGCAGTAGTTTCAATGAGGGGTCTATTTTTACGCTCAGCAATGCCATTCTGTTGGGGACTATAAACACAAGAAGACTGGTGAAGAATTCCCTAAAGTCATGAATTTAGTAAAGAATTAGAGAAATATTCACGCGACATTATCACTTCGTATATACGAAGGTGGTATTATGTTGAGTCTTAATTTCAGCACAAAATGATGAAAATATGGAACATAATTCAGAACGAAGCGCATAAGAATAACCAAGTGCAACGAATAGTCATCAATAATGTAACAAAATTTTAAATCCCAAAGTAGAGTTAACACGACAAGGACCCCACACATCGGAATGCACTACACCAAAGGGGGATGCAGCCCATTTATTGACATGCTTTGGAAAGAACTACAGTAGTGCTTTCCAGCTGACACGACTCACAACTCAAGGACGATAATTAGATAGACCTGGGATCATTTTCCAAAGTTTGAAAGACTAGATGGCCCAAACGATTATGAAGGAGATCCGGAGACTCGGAGACAATGCATGTTGTAGATGGGATATAAAGATGATAGAGACCCGGTGACCTCACGTCCTATGCCAATCATCCGTCCCATGTCGCGATCCTGTATAACAACAGAGTCAGTATCAAAACGAATAGAGCAATTTAAGAGGCAGTAAGTTTACTAACAGACACGAGATTAAATGGACTTTGGGAATATAAAGCACAGAGTGTAATGCCAAGGACGGGAGGGTTTTGCAATCCATATCTTGAACATGGCTTTAACCCATTGGCTAAATAACAAGAGGTAAAGATACAGATTTGTAATCTGAGTAAGTAAATGGGGTTACCAGAATATGATTCGAGCAGCCTGAATCTAGGACCCAAGTCTAAAGCGGAAGACTGAGAAAGGCAAGCAATTGAATTACCGTTTGAGCGACGAGGCAATAGATGAAGAAGACTGCTTACTAGCCTGATACTGTAAGTATTCATCATAATCAGTACCTGTGAGAGTTAAGAGGGCTGAGCTAGCACTGTAGAGGACTCAGAATGAAGATCAGTGATCAGCCTAAGCAATATTAGCACTCGGGTAGGTCGACCATGTAACTTAAAACATTTCTCTCTGGTATGCCCCACCAATGACAGTAACTACACTTGGGCCGTTTCTTCGCCACTTCGATCGCCCTATTCTCGAAAAGTTTGGGACTGAGAAACAAGGACTGAAGAGTCACTCGGAAGGTACAGTATAGGGGAGGAAACCCGAAGTAATCTGGCAAACACTTCGTCAAGGGAAGGCATGGTAGAGCCAGAAAGAATTTGATCTCGAACAGGTGTAAGATCTGGACCGAGAGCTGCAAGTGTCAAGACCATAAAGAACTTGTCCCGTCGAGCCAAATCTTCTGCCGTAGATTTACCACCTGGTCAGCAGATTTAATTCTGTCTTAAGGGAAGCCATCTTACCAAGGAAATCTGACATATTCATATCCTGTTGTTTGAGATGACACTAGGTTGACACAACCAGAATATAAACGTTGATGTCATTTGTATAGATAAGTTTAGCCTGCTCCAAATATCCGCAACAAGACGGTAAGATTTATAAATAGGGTAAAGGGGGGGATCAATAGTTTGCCATAACATACTACACAGCATAGCATCAATTTTAGTCCAGGAAGACTTATCTGACGTAATATCGGCAGCGTTGGTGGTCAAGTGATCCTCCAGACCTTGACCCATACACCATAATTCGACAGAGGCAGCCCATGATGAATAATTAGAAGTCCCAATTAATCGCTCAGTGGTGATGGGAGGGAGAGATACAAAAGAAAAACCACTTGGATTCGAAGGAGAGGCTGTTTTTAAAGAATCCATGAAGTCTTGAAACTGACGGAAAACACAGAAACTGACAGAAAACACAGAAACTTACGCTTGCTGGAAAAACTGAACAGAGGAGGGGCTGCTAGAAAAACGATCGGCTCGTGAGGGCACGTGCAGCGGCGGCCAACGACAAAACCACTCGGGTTAGGACAACGAGGAGAAGACGATCAGTCTGGTGTGATTGGACCGGATTCTGATCGTTGTCGGAGAACAGTCGCGGAGAATAGTTGCCGAAAAAAATTCGAGAAAGAGAGAAAATTTTTGAAATTTCAGATACTAAGCTCTGATACCATGTGGAGAAATATTTTTCTTGTATTTCATAATGAGATGTACAATGAATTTATAGCAAAAACAAAAAACTAATCTAGGAAGTAAATTGTTACATTCCTATTATAATTCTATTTCCTATTCCTATTCCTATTATAATTCTATTACAATGAGAATAATTCTATTTCCTATTTTACATTTCAACAAACCTAAATTAAGACCTTCAAATCAATACAAAAACCTATATTTTAATCTCAAAACTCGAATCAAATTAACATAATCCCTCAAATAAAAAGATTTGACTTCGATAGATCAAAGATATACTTATAATTAGAAAGCCTATCGATAGAGAAGAGAGTAACCAGAGAGAAAAGCTTAAGAGGAAGAATTGGAATTGTCCATAAACTCTCTCCTCACAAATCATAGTGAAAATTCATCCCTCTTTGAGAATATTATAAAACAAAGAAGGGTTGTTTTTGCCAGGCATCTTTTCAATTTAACTCACAATTTTCGCAACTACGATAACCCAAATCTTAACACAAAAACAAACTAGAAGAAAAAGGGAGAAAAGAGAACACACACTCCCAAGTTTGGAATCACGGCCAAATGAACCCAGTCAGAGCAGCCAGATTGAAGAGGCAGCAACACTACGACTAAAATAAAACCAGAAAGAGTAAATGGGTATCACCATCAGAGAGAGAGAAAGTTGAAACAGATTATGGGTATTTGCTCTTTTACTTGCTTTCTGGTTTGGCAAGCAGAGTATGTAACGAGAAAATTTAGCTGCCCGGTCATCCCAAGTTTCGATTTAAGAAAATGGCCTTGAAACTGTTTATCATTTTTTTTTAATTTAGAGAAGATGATGTGGCATAGTTAGGATTAATTAAACACGTAAAATGGGTTAAAATGAAAAGATTAAAACATATGTGGGCCGAATCAGAAATAATGAAAGTTTTTAAAATTTAAAATTTCGCAAAACAAGCCCCACTAACTATTCACCTCGCTTAATCGAAATTCATTAATTCAAAAAGCGATTTCTTGAACGAAAGGGAGACGCAATTTTTTCCGATCGAACACCTGCAAATTTGCACCCTAAATCAATTTCTTGAACCCTAAACCGAATACAGTTGCGATTTTCNAAAAGGGTGTGAACTGAATTTTTGCCAATGCTTGACCAAGTATTTTGTATTAAGGATTGACATTTAACACAAAAGAATTACCAAAATTGTTAGATCGACCTGAGCATTTTCTATGGAATCTGACAATGTTATTATACACCAAGATGAGAATTCTATATGGGCATAATATTGTAGAAACAAAAAAAGTTCTTAAATTCTAGAAAAATATATCCTGGAAAAAGAGCAGATAAAATTTTTTAGGATGGAAAGAATATGATTTATGAATCTGACCTTTGGTATTAACAAATTGATCAATCTCAAGCATTCTAAAAATTAAGATCCAACCATCATGAGAAAACATAGCTATTCAAAACTATAGCACAATAGAAACTTGATTAATTAGGTGCATTTAAAGTCAAGTGTTTAAGCATTCGAAGTTCAGTCTCAGAGCTTTCTGGAAATGAAAAAAAAAACTCAACAGCATATCTTCATTCCAAAACATGGCATAACTGAAACACCATGATACTACCAAATCCAGAAGTTTTTACGGATAGAATAAGTGACACATAGCCTATAGCATAACATTCAACAAAAAGATACGACTGCAAGAACCTTTCTTATCAGGATCTTCACATTTGTAGGATGACTCATTATAGCAGTTCCTTTATAAGCCTTCTTCAGTTAACCTTGATTTGAATTTTCAAGACACCGAGAATCCCACAATACTAGGTGTTGTGACTCTTCCTTGGTCCATGATAAAATAACATTGAGGCCAGCAAAGTAAATTCTCCTAATCCACAAAGACCAATACAAAGTCAGGAACTGGTGAATAAACACATATGCCCAACTGGAATTGTATATTACCATGCATATTGATTCTCGGAGAACTTCTAGAGAAATTTGATGTCGAATTTCCGAGTTTTGGTGGCAAAACAAAAGCCTTTTGTTTTATCATTTCTGATTTCGTAAAAACAAATTATAGGGTAAAATGACAGATTATTAAAAATGCAATAATCAAGCCCCAAAAAGAATTATTGAATAAACAAGCTTCAAAAATTATTACTCGAGTAAAGCTCGGAGATTAATGGTTTGTAAATAGTATGGTACACTTTTAGCTTCTTTATCTTCCAATTTCCCAAAATATAAATAACGAACGAGAACCTAAATTAAGAGCTTCAAATCAATACCAAAAACCTATATTTTAGTCTCAAAACTTGAATCAAACTAACATAATCCCTCAAATATAGATCAAAGAGATACTTACAGTTAGAAAGCCTATAAATAGAGAAGGGTGTAACTAGAGAGGAAAGCTTAAGAGGGAGAATTTGAATCGTCCATAAACTATCCCCTCACAAAACACAGTCAAAATTCATCACTCTTTGAGAATATTTTATAAAACAAACAAGGGTTGTTTTTCCCAGGCATCTTTTCAATTAATTCACAATTTCCGCAACTATGATGACCCAAATCTTGAACCAAAAAAAAAAACTACTGTAGACGAAAACGGGAGAAAAGAGAACTAACACTCCAAGTTTGGAATCGCGGCCAAATGAAACCAGTCAGAGCAGCCAGATCGAAAAGGCAACAACACCACCACTAAAATAAAACCAGAAAGAGTAAACGGGTATCGCCATCAGAGAGAGAGAGAGAGAGAGAGAGCAAGCTGAAACAGATTGTGGGAATTTCTTCTTTTACCAAGTTTTACTTGCTTTCTGGTTTGGGATTGGGAAAGACAGTGCGACCTTTCGTCTTCACGAAAAAGTCAAAAGTATATTTTATTTATACTTTTTTTTCTTATTATATTATTAAAATAGTGCATTTTTATTATTATTTTTTTTTTCTAGATTTTCTTTTAATCTGAATACGAGCAATCCAACAGTGAATATAATTTTTTTTTTTTGTTTTTAATCAAGATTTAATATATCAAAATCCAACGGCAAACATAGCTTCCAGCAACCGTAAATTTGATCCAATCGGTAAAAACAATTCCTTTATTATATATATTAATATAGTAAAAGAAACATAAAATACAGGTAGTGGACCTAGTGGTCAGTACAAAATCAAATTAACTAACAGATAACTAATTATCATAACTTACTAACTACTAAAACAACAACAGCAACTCAAAATAACAATTTTCAAGTCTAGAATTAGATTTTCAATATAGCAGCATGACAATGTAACCACTATCACCTTGTCTCTATAGAGACTCTAACTACCTATAATCTCAATTTGCTCCAGATCATGCTCCATTAGGTTATCTCCTACTTCAAGTCCTTCAATCTCTTCAATTGGAGCAAGAGTTGGTTCTAGGTTTTCTTGATTTTGATTGACCCAATTGATGAAGATGGTAGGAAGTGATCGTAGAGTGTGAAGAAGGCAATTAAAGAAAAGTTTAATCAAACTCCATAATAATGCATAACATGGAGATATAATAATGAGAAACAAATAGGCTACTAAAAAATGAGAGGGTGATAAAATGAATGATGCAAGGGTTGACAGAGCTAAAAGAAGAGAAAATTTTCCAGGACGCAAGAAGATGGGACGACTCATACTAAGAGGAAGTGTGATGGGTGTGAAAAGGAAAGCTAGCAATAAGAGAAGAGCAAGAATAAGTGAGAGGATAAATAGAAATGGGTATTGAAAAATGTTTTTAGCTTGGGGTTTCCTTAATAGAAAGAAGATGAAAATATTTAGTAGCGGTAAGAGAAGAAATCTCAAATCAATGGAGGATTGCATGGTTTCTATTGCTGATGATATTTGGATAGAGAAGAGGAAGAAATCAAGTATGGAGCTGATCTTGGACGTTTTTGGTTTGAAGAATTGAATGCTTTTGTTTGGGATTAAGGCTTTTTATGAAATTTTTTGATTGACCGAGGGTGGGCTCACATTGAGCTAAGTGGGCCCCAGTGAATAAAATAAAAACACCATTACCAACTTCGCCCACAAACATCTTCTTTCACAAACCTTAGGCTTAAGATGACTCGAGAAATTATTCAAAAAATAATAATAAAATAATATTTTATCAATATTTAAAAACAAAGGTAATTTAATAATCATTATAACATCATTCCTCAATGGTGTAGCTTATCCCCCATGAAACATACTCTTAGGATGAATCAAGAAATTATTCAAAAAATAATAATAAAATAAAATTTTATCAATATTTAAAAACAAAAGTAATTTAATAATCATTATAACATACCTACACATATATCCTCTCAACCACGTATATGAATATATCATATCAATCAATGTATTACAACCTAATTAAATACATTTTCTTAAACATTTACAATAATCTTCAAAGTAAACTATTTATCTTTACATCAATATAATATTCTCAACCTAATTCCTCAACACTGTTAATTTGTTTATATAGCTAGCTGTGTTCAAAAGTCAAAGAGAAAATACTCCTCCCAGCTTAATTTTTTTTTTCTTTTTTAACATAATACTTTTTACGGGGATGCCTTTAATTGCATTCTGATTCTTCTTTATGCTTTCCACATCATTCTGTGCATACTCATTGGATGACGGTAATTTAGGGTAGTTATAAATTATGTAAATTAACTTCTCAAAGTGGACTACTACAATGGGATATCCAAAAATGGGAAAGATTTATGTGAAATGATGCAAAATGACTCTGAACTGCAATCCTGGTGGAAGGAACTACGAGAAGAGGGTCACGGCGACAAAAAAGATGAGCCTTGGTGGCCTAAAATGCAGAAACGCGAAGAGCTGATAGAAACATGCACCATAATCATATGGATAGCTTCAGCTCTCCATGCTGCTGTCAACTTTGGACAGTACCCTTATGCAGGTTTCCTTCCTAACCGCCCAACTATATGCCGCAGATTCATGCCTAAAATGGGAACTCCTGAATATGATGAACTTGACTCAAATCCTGACAGAATGTTCCTCAAAACAACCACTGCTCAGCTGCAGACCCTTCCTGGCATTTCCGTTCTGCTATTACTAGCTCTCCTACCACAATTTTGATCTCCATCATCAACCAAACCTACCAGACTCAAAACCACCTAAAATTAACCTCTACCACAACGACGGCAGCTTGGAACAAGTTGTGATATATGACACAACATGAATATTTTGTATGAAATAGCTGCATGCAATACGATAGTAAGATGGGATCCTCGTTTCTGGCATTACAGTCAAACGCATAATCTCTTTTAAAGCTTAAAATGGAACCGTGCTTCCACATTATAGTCCAGGGTAGAATTTCTTTTAGATTTAGACACAACACTTATGTCATTCATCCAAAGGATACAACTTCAATAACAATATATGTCTGCAGTCTACAACAATTTTGCATTGTGATTTACTGATTTACCATTAATAAGCATATTATACAGCCAAAAGGATCTTCATATTATATCAAATGCATGACCATATCATTATAATTCCATTCCATAGCACATCATAATCTAAACAAAGTACTCCATAGAATCCCAATCCCCAAAATTTATATAGTCTTATTGATTATCCAATCAAAGGTTATTATTATTTCTGTCTAACCCTTACAGCAAGATTACTACAGAGTAACCAAAACAGAAGGGTTTGCATTCAGAAACAGAAAATTGCCATCAATATAAATAATTCAAGTAGCTGCAACTTGAAATGAAGATGAAATGACTTGGTTCAAGGAAACTGATATACCATCAAAAGAAAAATTATATTATCTATATATATTGCCTATACAGATGCAAATACAACCTGCGCCCACAATGAACAAAACAGAATTTTAAGCATAAAGTAAACATATCATATGTATACACTGAAAATTCCATCCACTTCATTCACACCAGAATTTATATCTTCAAAAAGAGTAATTAGGGCTGTAGAACCAAGATGCAGAGTTACTATTGGCTGATTTGTTCAGCAACTTCACAACACAAATACACAAACAATTTCCAGGAAAAGAGAGTGCAGTGGAGCTCAAGACCTGGAGAAAACAATCTGAACAGTGGAGCTCAAAATAAATTCTCCTAATCCACAAAGATCAATACAGAGTCAGGAACTGGTGAATAAACACATATGCCTATGTGGAACTGTATATTACCATACATATTGATCCTCGGAGAACTTCTAGAGAAATTTGATGTTGAATTTCCGAGTTTTGGTGGCAAAACAAAAGCTTTTTGTTTTATCATTTCTGATTTCGTAAAAACAAATTATAAGGTAAAATCACAGATTATTTAGCGCAAAAGAGCATATTAAAAATGCAATAATCATTAATCAAGCCCCAAAAAGAAATATTGAATAAACAAGCTTCAAAAATTAATGACTCGTGTAAAGCTCGGAAATTAATGGTTTGTAAATAGTTTGGTACACTTTTAGCTTCTTTATCTTCCAATTTCCCAAAATATAAATAACGAACGAGAACCTAAATTAAGAGCTTCAAATCAACACAAAAACCTATATTTTAAGTCTCAAAACCCGAATCAAATTAACATAATCCCTCATATATATATCAAAGAGATACTTATAGTTAGAATGCCTATAAATAGAGAAGGGTGTAACTAGAGAGGAAAGCTTAAGAGGGAGAATTTGAATCGTCCATAAACTCTCCCCTCACAAAGCACAGTGAAAATTCATCCCTCTTTGAGAATATTTTATAAAACAAACAAGGGTTGTTTTTGCCAGGCATCTTTTCAATTTAATTCACAATTTCCGCAACTACGATCACCCAAATCTTGAACCCAAAAAAAAAAACTACTGTAGAAGAAAAAGGGAGAAAAGAGAACTAACACTCCAAGTTTGGAAACGCGGCCAAATGAAACCAGTTAGAGCAGCCAGATCGAAAAGGCAACAACACCACCACTAAAATAAAACCAGAAAGAGTAAACGGGTATCGCCATCAGAGAGAGAGAGAGAGAGAGAGAGCAAGCTGAAACAGATTGTGGGAATTTCTTCTTTTACCAAGTTTTACTTGCTTTCTGGTTTGGGATTGGGAAAGACAGTGCGACCTTTCGTCTTCACGAAAAAGTATATTTTATTTATTCTTTTTTTTCTTATTATATTATTAAAATAGTGCATTTTTATTATTATTTTGTTTTTTTCTAGATTTTCTTTTAATTTGGATATGAGCAATCCAACGGTGAATATAATTTTTATTGTTTTTAACCAAGATCTAATATATCAAAATCCAACGGCAAGCATAGCTTCCAGCAGCCGTAAATTTGATCCAATCGGTAAAAACAATTCCTTTATTATATATATTAATATAGTAAAAGAAACATAAAATACAAGTAGTGGACCTAGTGGTCAGTACAAAATCAAATTAACTAACAGATAACTAATTATCGTAACTTACTAATTACTAAAACAACAACAGCAACTCAAAATAACAATTTTAAAGTCTAGAATTAGATTTTCAATATAGCAGCATGACAATGTAACCACTATCACCTTGTCTCTATAGAGACACTAACTACCTATAATCTCAATTTGCTCCAGATCATGCTCCATTAAGTTACCTCTTACTTCAAGTCCTTCAATCTCTTCAATTGGAACAAGAGCTGATTCTGAGTTTTCTTGGTTTTGGTTGACCCAATTAATGAAGAGGGTAGGAAGTGATCGTAGACTGTGAAGAAGATAGTTGAAGAAAAGTTTAATCAGACTCCATAATAATGCATAACATGGAGATATGATAATGAGAAACAAATATGCTACTAAGAAATGAAAGGGTGGTAAAATGAATGACGCTAGGGTTGACAGAGCTAGAAGAAGAGAAAATTTTCCAGGACGTAAGAAGATGGGACGGCTCATACTAAGAGGAAGTGTGATGGGTGTGAAGAGGAAAACTAGCAATAAGAAAAGAGCAAGAATAAGTGAGAAGATAAATAGAAGTGGATATTGAAAAATGTTTTCAGTTTGGGGTTTCCTTAATAGAAAGAAGATGAAAATATTTAGTAGCGGTAAGGGAAGAAACCTTAAATCAATGGAGAATTGCATGCTTTCTATTGCTGATGATATTTGGATAGAGATGAGGAAGAAATCAAGTATGAAGAATTGAATGCTTCTGTTTGGGATTAAGGCTTTTTTTATGAAATTGTTTCATTGAGCGAAGGGGGGTTTATATAGAAAAACTAATCATTCCCCATTGGAGTCAATGGAAGTCAAAAAAAAAAAAAAAAAAAAAATTTGGACCAGTAGTAAGATGCACAAAAAGGAAAAGAACACAAAAAGCCAAGATGCACAAAAAAAAAAAAAAATGAATTCTCGTCCTTTTTGTGCACAAAAAGGACGAGAACACAAAAAGCTGACTTCATGTCATTCATTTTTTTTTTTCTTGGATTCATTCGTCAAATGAATGATGACATGTCATTCATTTTTTTTTTTTTTCTTGGAAGGGGGGTTTATATAGAAAAACTAATCAGTTCGGGTCCCATTGGGGGGAGTACATGGAACGGTCAAAAAAACGAAAAAGAAGAAATTGGTAACCAGGTAGTAGGAGAGCAGCATGAAGGAAAAGAACACAAAATGCCAGATGCACAAAAAAAAAGGAATTCTCTGTCCTTTTTTGTGCACAAAAAGGACGAGAACACAAAAGCTGCCTCATTTCATGTCATTTTTTTTTTTTTTTTTTTTCTTGGCTTTGATTAACACCCATCACACTTCCGGTAATGCGACATCCTTGGCTTTGTTCATTTTTTTTTTTTTATCTTGGCTTCGTTCATTTTTTTTTTTTTCTTGACTTCGATTAACACCCATCACACTTCCTCTTAGTTTAACCGTCTTATTTAGAAATTATTAAAAAATAATAATAATATTTTTATCATTTTAAAAATAAAGCAATTTAATAATTATAACATACTTACACATATATCATTCCAACCAAATATATAATATAACTATCCACCAATGATTCTAATTTAACTAAACACTTTCCTAAACATTTCTAGAATCTTCAAGAGTAATCTATTATCTTTCTATTAATTAACTTTTCAACCTAATTCATCGACATTGTTAATTTGTTTATATAGATGGCTGTGTTCAAAGTCAAAAAGCAAATACTCCTTCCAGCTTAAATCTTTTCTTTTTTAGCATAATACTTTTTACGGGGATGCCTTATATTGCATTCTGATTCTACTTGTTTCTGCCTCCACATCATTCTATGCATACTCATGGGATGATGGTAATTTAGGGTAGTTATAAATTTTAGCAAAGAAACCATCCAAAATCTCAGAACCGCGTTGGCCCTGCCAAAAGCCATACACTTGCTCCATCCTACTAGTGAAGGTGCCTTACTGAAGGATAATCCCAACGGTGTTTCAATCCAGAGCTTCAACTCTAGCTATGTCTTCGGATTATTGTATTTATGAATCAAGCAGTAACATAGCAATTGTAAAGGGTTGAATGAGACAACTTCCTGAGTGGGGTGAAAAGTGTCATTCAGCCAATTGTAAAGATCTTGTGTTATAATACATTAACAAAGTGCAACCCCAAGTTGATCTCGGCGATCAAGAAGGTTTGCTCCCTTCTACGACGTTCTTAGTTTAGACTTGAGATCACTTACTACATTAAATTTCTCACATTGTGATTTTATTCGGTCCTTGAACTTGTAAGGTTTTGAGGGACCCTGAATATGGGACTTATCCGAACCTTTATACTTGGAGGTGTTCAAGGACTCTAAAAATTATTTCGATGTACGTAAACTAGCTCGAACAAATTAACATGATTGAACCAAGATGCCTTGAATATTAAGGGGACCTGAAGATTAATCGAAGCCCCACAGCCCTTACAATAAAAAAAATTAACAATGGCTGGACCATATGCCTTGAGGCTTGGGCCTGCAATGTGTAATGGCAAAGTTGAAATATATCGAAGTCAGGTTTGGTATGTCAAATCAAGCTGAGTACAGAAGAAGTTACTGAAACTCTGTTCTTCGGAACGGTTCTGCCTATAAGCCCTAAATCTGGGCCAAAGATTCAAAGCAATTCGTAAAAGAACATTTCTTCTTCACAGCACTCAATTCATGTATGTATCATGTGTAAGTAGGTGAAAACGATGGCGGATTCGCATGCGCCGGACTCCAAAGTTTTCAGTGTCGAATCGTCATCCATCGAGTCACTACAGTGGCGCCGCCGATCTCCTGGCTACGATATTTGCTACAGTAGCTTTCAGGTTCCCAATCCGAAACGTCTTCGTTTAATTTTTATATAAATTTCAGTGCTGTTATTTCTTCTTCGTTTGATCTTCCCACTTGGATTTGTTCTTTGGGCGCGAAAAGGTAACAAATAAAGAAATTAATACCGCTACAGTAGGGTGCTTGAACGACATCTTATGATTATTTGCTTCTTTCTCTGCTACTGTCCTGTATGTTATTACACGGTGGTGTTATCGTGATGCCTGGAATTTTGTCGCTTGAAAGTTAGATTAAAATTGCTAGCATTAATATATTATGGCCGGTCTTTTTATGATAAACAAATTTAGGGTATATACTCAATATATAATTGGTCCTACTATTAAATTTAATACTGTTAATATTTTTTTGAATTATGAAGGCGGGAAGGTGGACGAAGTGCCGGTTATAAGGATTTATGGATCAACACCAGCCGGCCAGAAGACATGCTTGCATGTTCATAGAGTAATTTTATTGATCTTTTTATGTAAATTGATGTTGTTAGTTACTACGCTTAGCATTTACTTTGAAATTTCATTTTGTTCTCAATTGTGGCATTTTCAAACTTCATGAGTGCGACAGATTTGCACTATGTTTGCGTTTTATAGTTTCCATGAATAATTTTATTGATTTTTTTTTCTTTTTGTAGGCTTTACCCTATTTATATGTCCCATGTGCTGATATACCTCTTCAATCAGACCAAGAAGGTAAAACATGGACTTGGATTTGGGCTTTACTTTGTGTTGTGCTTTTGAATTCAAATTTCAGTTGGAAAGATGATGCTTGAAACACAATTTTTTCTTTGTTGATTTTTGTAGGTGATGCATTTACGAATGCTATATCTCTTGGATTGGAGAAAGCCTTGAAGGTACGTATATCTCTTCCCTAGTAATTAGTTTGTGTGGCTTATTGCATATATGGGTTGTGAATATAGTTGCTTTGAATTCTCAGCCAAAGGGTAATTCTGGTTCAAATCGTCAGCATGTTCATGGTTGCAGCCTTATACGAGCTAAGAGATTTTATGGTTACCATTCATCAGAAGAGCTATTTGTCAAGATATACCTGTATCCTAGTTTTTCAGTGTGCACAGGGAAGGGTGGGGCGGGGTGCATGGTAAAAAAAGGAAATAAGTATTGCATTGTGCTGGAGTTGTTTTTTCGTTGATGATATTGTAGGGTTATGTTGTTGAACACCTTGACAAACTTCAAGCTATTATCCACATGATGTCTCTCGTGCTGCTAATCTCCTTCTGGTATAATTCTTGAACAGTCTGCTCACTTTTAGTTGTTTACTGCATTTTTCTTTTCTCTTTTTTTATTTTCTTTTTCTGGTTGTTTTTTAACTTAAACTCTTTTATTGGCATGGTTCTTTTTTTTTCTTCTCTCTGCTGTATTATTTCATTTTTATTCATGATTTAAACTGTATGGTATACTTCCCTGTCATAGCTTCCTATGTTTCACATGTTGACATTGAAGTGATCTATATTGCAGAGGGTCTTTATTATGAATTAGAAAATTGCTGCTTAGTTGCTTATTGTGGTCTCTAGATGATGGGCATATTGAGTGTTTTTAAAAAATACAGGAGTAGATTTGCTTAGAGTTGTGGCCCTTGGATGAATTGATTGTGGATTTTCGGTTGAGCTAATTGACCGTAGTTAATCATGAAATTGTTTCCTGTGTTTGGATACACTTATATTTTCATTTTGAGAGATTTATAAACAAATTATTTCCTCTTATCATAGTAACTCAATTGTTTTTCAGGCAGGTGCAGTTCTTGATAAGAGTTTGCAGCCCCATGAATCTCATATTCCCTTTCTTCTTCAGTTTCTGGTAAATACCTTTCATGTGAAATGTTTTTGGTGGAGTTTTTTTATTTATTCTTCATATTTTTTACAATATTGAGAGTTAAATTTTCATGGTGATGTCTAATGAATTATGATTAATATTGATCGAGTATTTTTCATTTAATTCCTATTATTTAATTAGACTTCTTGTTTTTTACATAAAAATTTTGTCCCTGTTGTTCATATGTTAAATACTTCAATGACTCTGGATTTTTTTATGAAGTCTAAAAGTTACCTAGGGGGATGGACAATCACCTTGATTCGGGTGAGAAGCAGATTGTTTTAGGGGAAGACAATGGCATTGGTTGGAGGGGAAGACTTCGTTAACAATGCATGTTTCTCAGCCAGTAGTGTTGCTTTTTTTCTTCAGGACTGAGCTCCAATAGGGTCCTGCTAAAACAACAAGTAAACTCATTAGAAATTCATACAAACAAAACTAAAATTGAAGACATTGTTTAATTGAGTTTTACCAACAGCATTGAGATTTTTATTTGTGTTTGGTTGTATATACCAATGAGTGAAACATTTTAAAAGGATTAGGAAAGATCCTAGCTCTTCCTTTCTTTTTCTACATGCAACTTCACCACATTAATCATAAATTAATAACCGCTAAGAACCAATAAGTAGAGTCTATTCCTAGAACTGATTCATAATTAAAAAAAATTAAAAATTAAAAAAAGAAACCTAATAGAGTTATAGAGGAGCAATGCCAGATTTAGCGTAGACATTCATCCCATGTCTACGACCACCCACATATTATAATTTGATATGCACAATAAGTTTTGCTCACCAAACAAATTATTTATTGAAAAAAAAACATTTTCAGTAAAAGGCCTTTTTGTTGAACAAAATTTTCAAGTCAACACTCAGGAGAAGGGATAAGATCCAGGAAGATACGAGAGTACTTGTTGCGAGTATTCTCTTCCCTGTCTATCTCTAGGCACTCAGAGTAGAAGTCAGTAAAAAGCTCTGTATGTGAACAACATCCAAGTTGATTACTTGAATCCCTATTGATGGAGAGAACATTCAACCTGAAACCACTCACCAGAGTGCTTAAATATCCATTCATTTCCAGTTGACAATGCAGCACCGATCACATTTAATGGACATAAGAAAAGGGTGTGAACTGAATTTTTGCCAATGCTTGAACAGTATTTTGTATTAAGGATTGATATTTAACAAGGATACCAAAATTGTTAGATCGACCTGAGCATTTAGAAAAAAGTTCATAGGGCATAATATTGTAGAAACAAAAAAGTTCTTATTCTAGAAAAATATATCCTGGAAAGAGCAGATAAAATTTTTAGGATGTAAAGAATATGATTTATGAATTGACCTTTGGTATTAACAATTGATCAATCTCAAGCATTCTAAAAATTAAGATCCAACCATCATGAGAAACCATATCCATTCAAAACTATAATACAATGGAAACTCAATTAATTAGGTGCATTTAAAGTAAGTGTTTAAGCATTCGAAGTCAATCTCAGAGCTTTCTGGAAAATGAAAAACAACCTCAACAGCATATATTCATTCCAAACCATGGCATAATTGAAACACGGTGCCATATCGGCAATCTAGACTGCTCAAATCAACTAGTTTAAGCATTCAGAGTAGATGACTGCAGTGATTTAAATAAAAACAATGCATTAATACACAATGATACTACCAAATCCAGAAGCTTTTATGGATAGAATAAGTGACGCATAGCCTATAGCATATATTCAAAAATCAGGATCTTCACATTTGTAGGATGACTCATTATAGCAGTTCTTTATAAGCCTTCTTCAGTGTAACCTTGATTTGAATTTTCAAGACACCGAGAATCCCACATAATAGGTGTTGTGACTCTTCCTTGGTCCAGATAAAATAACATTGAGGCGAGCAAAGTAAACTCTCCTAATCCACAAAGACCAATACAAAGTAGGAACTGGTGAATACACATATGCCCAAGTGGAATTGTATATTACATACATATTGATCCTCGTAGAAATTCTAGAGAAATTTGATGTGAATTTCGAGTTTTGGTGGCAAAACAAAAGCTTTTGTTTTATCATTTCTGATTTCGTAAAACAAATTATAAGGGAAATCAAGATTATTAAAAATGCAATAATCAAGCCCAAAAGAATTATTGAATAAACAAGCTTCAAAAATTATGACTCGAGTAAAGCTCGGAGATTAATGGTTTGTAATAGTTTGGTACACTTTTAGCTTTTTTATCTTCAATTTCCCAAAATATAATAACGAACGAGAACCTACATTAAGAGATTCAAATCAATACCAAAAACCTATATTTTAGTCTCAAAACTTGAATCAAACTAACATAATCCTCAAATATGGATCAAAGAGATACTTACGTTGAAAGCCTATAAATAGAGAAGAGAGTGACTAGAGAGGAAAGTAAGGAGGAGAATTTGAATCGTCCATAAACTCTCCCCTCACAAACAAAGTGAAAATTCACCTCTTTGAGAATATTTTATAAAACAACAAGGGTTGTTTTTGCCAGGCATCTTTTCAATTTAATTCACAATTTCCGCAACTACGATGACCCAAATCTTGAACCAAAAAAAAAAAAACTACTGTAGAAGAAAAAGGGAGAAAAGAGAACTACACCTCCAAGTTTGGAATCGCGCAGCCAAATGAAACCAGTCAGAGCAGCCAGATCAAAAAGACAACAACACACACTACAAAATAACCAGAAAGAGTAAACGGGTATCACCATCACAGAAGAGAGAGAGAGAGAGAGAGAGAGAGCAAGCTGAAAAAGATTGTGGATATTGCTCTTTGCTAAGTTCTACTGGCTTTCTGGTTTGGGATGGGAAAGAGAGTGCGATTTCGTCTGACGAAAAAGTATACTTATTTTTATATTTTTTTCTTATTATATTATTAAAATAAGCATTTTTATTATTATTTTTTTCCGATTTTCTTTTAATTTGAATACGAGAAATCTACGGTGATATAATTTTTATTGTTTTAACCAGAATCCAATATATAAAAATCCAACGGCAAACATAGCTTCCAGTAACCGTAAATTGATCCAATCGGTTAACAATTCCTTTATTATATTATTAATATAGTAAAAGAAAAAATATAATACAAAGTACAAATCAATTAACTAACTAATACTTAACGACAACAGCAACCCAAAAGAACCGGTAGTTTCAACCTTTGTACCACATGTATACTTATTGAAAAGTCTAGAATTAGATTATCAATATAGCAGCATGACAACGTAACCACTATCACATTCTCTTACAGAGACACTAGCTACCTATAATCTCAATCTGCTCTAGATCATGCCATTAGGTTACTCTTACTTCAGTTCTTCAATCTTTCAATTGGAACAGAGGTTGGTTCTGGGTTTTCTTGTTTTGGTGACCCATTAATGAAGATGGTGGAAGTGATTGTAGAGCGTGAAGAAGATAGTTGAAGAAAAGTTAATATAGACTCCATAGTAAGCATAACATGGAGATATAATGAGAAACAAATAGGCTACTAAGAAATGAGTGGGTGGTAAAATGAATGACGCGAGGGTTGACAGAGCTAGAAGAAGAGAAAATTTTCCAGGACGCAAGAAGATGGGACGTCTCATACAAAGGAAGTGTGATGGGTGTGAAGAGGAAAGCTAGCAATAGAGAAAGAGCAAGAATTAGTGACAAAATAAATAAAAATGGGTATTGAAGAATATTTTCAACTTGAGGTTTCTTAATAGAAAGAAGATGAAAATATTTAGTAGTGGTAAGGGAAGAAACCTCAAATCAATGGGGAATTGCATGCTTTCTATTCTTGATGATATTTGGATAGGGATGAGGAAGAAATAAAGTATAGAGCTGATCTTGGACGTTTTGTTTGAAGAATTGATGATTTTGTTTGGGATTAAGGCTTTTATGAAATTGTTTCATTGAGCGAGGGTGGGGGCTTATAATGCATTGAGAGTAAGTGGGCCCAGTGAAGACACGAAAAACTAATCATTCCCCACTAGTGATCACTATTATAAAGTATTATAGTAAAAAACTTTTTTAAAACTTTATAAAACTTATAAAGTTTTTATATATAATACTTATATAATATTTTAAAACTTTATAAAAATTTTTATAAGTTTTTATAATATATACTTATATAATTTAAAACTTTATAAAACTTATAAAGTTTTTATAATATATACTTATATAATATTAAAACTTTATAAAAAACTTTATAAATTATAAAAACTTTATAAGTTTTAATGTTTTTTATAATATAATAACTTTGTACTAGTGATGAGTTTATAAAGTTTTTTATAAGTTTTAAATATTATATAAGTATTATTATAAAAACTTTATAAGTTTTATAATGTTTTATAATATAATAACTTTGTACTAGTGATGAAAGGTGATAACGTTCTGTCTTGACTTTCACTAACACACCCCACGCTTCCTCTTAGTATTAGCCGTCTCTGACATCCTATAAATTATTCAAAAATAATATTTTATCAATATTCCTTAACATCATTCCTCAATGGTTAGTTTCAAAAATATGAAAACAATACTCAATATATTTAATTTAACTAAACATATTTCTTAAACATTTTCATAATCTTTAAAATAATCTATTTATCTTTATAATAACATTTTCAGCCTAATTCTTCGACATTGTTAATTTGTTTTATAACTGACTGTATTCAAAGTCAAGAGCAAATACTCCTTCACCCTTAATTTTTTTCTTTCTTAACATAATAATTTTTACGGGGATGCCTTTAATTGCATTCTGATTGTACTTGTTTCTGCTTTCCACACCATTCTGTGCATACTCATTGGAGATGGTAATTTAGGGTAGTTATAAATTAAATTATAGAAAGAAACCTTGACCAAAATCTCAAGAACCGCGTTGGCCTGTCAAAAGACGTACACTTTGCTCCATCCTACTAGTGAAGGTGGCCTTACTGCTAAGGAATTCCACCAGTGTTTCATCTAGAGTTTCAATCTCTAGCTATGCTTTCGG